CTTCTTTGATACTACATAAAAACACAAGTAGTTATTTCTCAAAGGTTAGTTGCATGTGATATCTAAAACTGTATCAACAAAGTTTTCAGAGTAGTCCTTTAAAATCCATTGGTTTCTTTTGTACTTTAAATGGATTATCTATGCATGGTTTTGTAACACCACACATTGGTTATCTGAATATACTAGTTCACTGACTTACACAGATCTTCCAAACATCAACAAATTTCATGATAAATTATCAGAAGTTACATTCGTTAGTATCACCACCTGATTTCATCCTTAAAGTACTGAGATCAACAGTGGTTACATGTTTTCAAAAATTCTAATTTTCACTTGAAACCTCAATTTTTATCATTGGCAACAAACACTATCAATTGTCTTCCTTGAAGTGACAAACTCACTGTGTTCATTTTCGAGAAAATAGATGCTACATATCCAAGTCTGAATAACCACAGTTTGCCAAGCATTCTTTCAAGTAAAAACGATCCTCCATGAAAAAAGCAGCTAGTTCTGCTTGCAAATTAAATAACTACAAAAATGCTTTCCCTTGAATCAACCAATGTACTCTAAGTATGCACCAGAAGGGCTTTACTTTACTTCCCAGTTCATCAAATACGTTAAAAAAGACATGAGACTTCCTAAAATTCGTAACTTTTACTGCTTCATCAAGGGAATATATGCTTAAGTGAAACTGGCATTGTTTTTACTTCACACGCATGGTAGTGAAGATTACGATGAATACAGATAGCAACTTGGTGCCACTGCTTTGATTCATGCTAAGAGTCCAGCAGTTTTACCCATCCTTGCCTCTGTACCACCACCGCAAGGGTTAATACAGCAAAAAAGACAAATAACATCTTAATATGACTGTGAAAATAGTTTGGACCTCACAGAGTCCCTTAAAGGGTCTCAGGGACCCCCCCAGGGTTATTCAGATCACACTCTGAAAACCACTACTCTAAATTATCCAAACACTAATCACTTTAAGAATTTCCTTGTAAACAATGAAGCCCCTTGAGTACTCTAACCCAAGATATAAGGAGGAAAACCAACCAACCAACCTCCTAGAATAAGGAGTCTCTCTGAACAAGAACTCAGTGGTAGCTGGAAAGGCTCCTCAGACAGGTAGGGAGGCTTGGGAACTCTGAATTTCTGAAAAATGAACTGACTTTTATGTTCCTCAATTTTTTTTCTCCCATTCCTACACCAAGAGTAGTAGAATCTGTGACAAATTTCAAATTAGAAGACAGAAAGCAAATATGACAACAATACTGAAAAGATTTTTATCAGATAATTGGGGTTTATTTTAGATTTCTTCAGAATATAAATCATAGCAATTTACTTCCATTTTATAGAAGCTGAAATAATTAATCTTTTTAGTAACAGTCAGATCCTGACCATATTACTGCGTTCAGAAATACCTAGCGCAGCCCTTGTATAAAATGAGACGCTCAGTAAACACTGCTGAACGTCAAAGTAGTTGAAATGAGTTAAGAACACAGGTCACCAGAAACCTAGTACAACTCTTTCTTCTTTCTAAAATCTTTTTCATTGTTCCATAAGATAACATCTCTCAAAAACGTTAAGAGAGCTATTACAACTTATCCTGAGAAAATATAACATTACCTGTTATACTTTAAATTCTACCTAAAAGTTTGCTATGGACTTGGGTGTTTTATATGCTTTCATTTAGGTCACACTTCAAAATCAAAACAAAGAGCTCTATCATTCTCATTTTTTAGTATGTGCCACCTGAGTTAGGCAGTGATTTCCATTCCTATATGAAGTGGCAAGAAGATACTACTCTAACTCAATCATCATACACTGACTGCACTACCCTTAACACACTATACTAAATATTTCACTTTCTCTGATGCTTTAGATTGGTTCTTAATTTCTTAAAGTTTCTTAGGTTTATATGTGAGACACTTATTGCCTTATAAGTACTTGATGATGAAGATATAAAGATGAAGGAGACTGTTTAGTGCCTTTCATAGTAATTTGTCACCACAACTTTTTCTTTTTTAAATGTTTCCTGTCAGTTTGACATTTATCACTGCTTCTCTCACAAAAGTACAACGCAGAAAACTTCAAGTGCTTGAACTATCTAGTTATTTAGATTCTGGATAAAAAAAAGAGATTTATCAAATTTAAACTAATTAAGGTCAGCAAGCACAAAACCAAAATCCAAACACAGAAATGGCATAAATTTAAAGACTATAACTGATCAAAATTTAGGAACTAAAGCTACTTCACATCATGTTTCATTTTAAAATACTACTATGATTATAACCTCATTTCACTGCATAGTTATTCTGCAGAAAAACGTGACCTACCAAGGATATAGCCAAAGACACTGGGTCTTCTGTTGAAATATAAAAGATATGAACTCAGAATCTTAAAAGATAAAATTGTCAGTAAAGACTCTGGAGGGAGACCATGGGCTCTGCCTTCTCTGGAGGTTTAAAAAAAAAAAAAAGACTTTTCAAATGTCTGGAATGCCTTAGACTTGGCCTCACATTTGGCAACTTCGAGACAGAATCAGTTCAAAGGTCAGTCTGACCCAAGCAATTCAAGTCCCGTAGGTCAGTCACACAGACAAGTCATTAGCAAACTGCATCTTCAGCTCTGCTGCTATCCAGTCCCTGCTTTGATAATCGCCAACCTTACCCCGAAATTACCCTAAGTGCTAATTAACGTGTCAGTTGTAGAGAATTATTTCTTCCAACTCCTGAAACTTCTACTTCTCTCTAGTGTTCTGCAACCCTTTAATCCTGTTTTTCTAACATTACCAGAGAGGGAAGTATTTTGTGGTGCAATCAATATCTGCCCTATTAACAATTCCCTGTTCCACTGTTCTATCCAAACAGGGATTCCACTCTGAATTTCAGAAAGTGGTTGGAAAATAACAGGTAACAGAGAAATTAGAGCTCTTAGATTTAATTTAGGGCCAAAATCAAAAGAGAAGATACAATTCAGAGAGAGGAAGGAAGAAGCTGAGAGGGTCGTAGTGTAGAACACTTACTTTTAGGAACAGAGTGTCCCTTAGACTTCTGGTGAGTTGCCCAGAGCCTCTTCAGTTTCAATCCAAATGACAATGCTTCTCTGAGTCCTCCTCAAGTAATGTTTCCACCACTAAAAATTGGATCTACAAGAGCTCAGATGTACTGGTAAAAAATATCAGGGGCCCCCTTGTGGGCCTCAAGCCTCTTTTAAACTAGGCCCACTTCTCTGTCCTGGGCCAACTCCCCTGTGCACTATATTCCTTCTTCTTCCAGGTGCCAGGTATTCAGCCTGTTTCTTCTCTTCTGAGCTGCCACCACCTACTCTATTTCTCAGGGTTCCTCTAACCCCAAGACTGGCTGTGGAGTAGGACAACAGCTTCCCCCCTTCCTTGCTGTCCCTGCAAATAAACATATAGGCTCTTCTAGTTTCAGTATTTTTTCTAATGGCTACAAGAAAATAGAGAGGGAACAACAAAAAGCAACAATATCGTACCAGAGATTAAGATTATAATAAATGTCTCCACTTTAAAGTTCCTGCCTCCAAAAACCACATTTTCTAAAAACTGCTTGAGTGTTTTAAGAAGTACAAAGCATTAACACAGATATACAAATATATATTCTAAACCAAATCCAACCTAATACAAAGACATAAAGATACTCTGCTTTTCAAATACTTAAATCACGGGTCCAAAAATTGTTGCCACATTTACTTTAGCAAGTAAGTGCTTTTTTACTTTTCAGAATGGTCTGTTATATCCCCTCGAATTTAGATGTTTGAAAGTTTGCTTTTTAAAGGATATCATGAAAAATGCTCAATACATTTTATCCAATGTAAATGACAATATACAAAACGCATATTATGATTCACAGAAAGACATGTCAGAAGCAGCTAGCTTCACAAAGCAAATCATAAACTTTTAAGTTATTGCCAACTATCTGTCTCTACATTTTAAAATTTTAGTAAGTTGTTATAAATGGCATTCAAAAATCTAGTATCTAATTTTCAGAAATTTAACTTCTACAGAATACATAAATCTAATGTCACTATAGAGGTCTTCAAAACAACAGTATATCACATTAGTATACTTATACTCTTGTGATAATTTAGTTTCTAACAGACTTTGTAATATCAAAATACATGGTATCTAAATATTAGGCTATAACTCACATGATTATAATAAATTCAAAGACTATCTTGCTACAAAGGCAAAGGAACTCTAAGTGTTGGCAGATCAACAATGTCAGACTTTGAATTTCCTGTATGACTTTCTTTATCCACTTAATTCACTTAAGTGGTTTTTTGAAAGACTGAGTTATTATACTGTAAGACTACAATAAAATAAAGACTGAAAATAGGCAGAGATCATTTTATCTCATTTGTAGAGTCTAATAGATTGCCATTTAATCAAACTAAAAATATTCAGATACTTTCAGTAAAAATGTGTCCCTGTGACTGGGCTCACCTCCAACTATTTATAAAATATTAGAGAATTAGAATAAACATACTAAGCAAAACCTTGATCTAACCTTTCCAGACTCTAAATAAAAAAGGAAGTTTAACCTATTGTGTATTCTATAATCAGATACTTTTTTTTTTTTTTTTTTGAGGGAATGAACAATTCCATTTTGCCTTTCAGAGATTTCATGGCTTTTCTTTGATTCCAACACACTAACACAACAATGCACAACATTAGTATACCCAGACTAGGTGGGGTAAGACATGATACGAATTAAATCGCAGTTGCTAATGCCTCCCTTAAATAATTCCTATTCTCTCTTGGCAGCATATAACGTTACAGCCTTCAATTGCTCCCTCACCGCAAACCATGCAGGGTCGCAATCAATCTGGACCTAATTCTATAGCGGCCACCACCTCAGTCTCGCCTCCTCCCGGGTGTGGGGTCTGCGAGTGTCACGCGAGGGGTCGGCAGCCGCAGGGGCGTCCTCTGCGCGCTGCACCCGCCCCACTTCCTGGCGCGGGGCATCTGGACTCACCGGGTGGAGGTGCCCTTCCGCACATCGCACATCATGCACTTGAAGGCCTCGGCGCTGTTCCGAAGGTGCAGACGCTACAGTCCCAACCTCATCCGAGGACGCATTGGCTGCCGCTTCGGGCCTGCAGGACACAAACAACCTGACACGACGCGGCGGGGTCACCAGGCGCAGGGCTGCCCGGCGCCTGGCTCCCCTGTCCGCCTCGCCTGCCTCCCCTCTGCCCCAATTCCCATGACTGCCCCGCGTGGGCCCCATGGGCGCCGCGCCCAGCCAGAGTGAGGGGAGCTGTGGGAAGGGGGAGGAGGGCGCGGCCGCAGTCGTCGTCGCCGCCGCCTCTCTGACACCCCGGGCTGTTGCCCGGCCGCCATCTCCATTGTGGGCATACGGCGCCGGCCCCTCACGCGGCAGTGCTCTCGCAGCAGCGGCGCCAGCGCCGCCCCCGTTCTGGCCCCGCTTCCCGGGCGGCGAGCGAGACGGCCGCCCGAAGCCCGGCGCGAGGGCCCCGCCGCCTGCACAGTCCGGGCCCGGGGGCCCGGGCGCTGTTACCTGGTGGGGCTCTTCTTGTCTCCCATGGCTTGGCTACAGATGCACGCGGAGAGTCGCCGCCGCGGCCGCTCTGTTTGTCAATAAGGAGGATAATAAGCCGGGCGGAAGCGGGCGGGGGAGGAGGGAGGAGGGGGCGGGGAAGGCCGCACCGCCGAGCTCCGGAGCCGCCGCCGGATCCCACGCAGCCTCCAGCTGTCGGGGAAACTCCTGCCTGGGTGCACGTGACCCGAGCCGGCCAACCAGCAGCGGCGCCGGAGACTTCAAACGCGGCCAGCGCGGCCCAGCACCCGCGGCGAGTTCGCGGGCGGGCGGCGTGGGGGTGGTCGCTGCAGCTTCGGGCGCCGCCGCCTCTCCGCTCGGCTCTCCGCGCTTCCTTTCCGCATCCTTGGCTGGCGGTGGCTGCCACGCGCTGCAGGGCCCCTCTGACAGGGGGATGCGCAGTCATCCCGCGGGACGTGTGCTCCCGGGTGGAGCCGGCATTGGGAGGTCAGCCCGGTTCGGGAGCAGTGCCCGGCCGCGGTCTCCAGGTAGAACCGCTTTCCCGGCCTCGACCGTCCTTGACTGCTCAGGCTCAGCTCGAGAGACACCTGGGGGAAGGCGGGAACCAATATTGAGCGCCATTGCTAGGTGCCTTAAAATACTAATTTTCTGTACGCAAGTCTCTACCAAGTAGGTACTGTCGCCCTTAATTTAGAGGAAACGAAACCGAGGCTCAAGAGAGGGTAGGTGACTTCGTCTGTATTATATAATTAGAGGATGACAAAGCCAGGAGGAATTTAACCCTGGTTTTAATTCCGAATGCACTCTTTTGGCCTCCCAGGACTCAACAGTAGCCGCTTAAAACAAAACAACTCATAAGCCCTTTTCTTTTTTCGATAACGAGTTTACATAGTCCCTGAATGTTGTCTGTTGAGTAAGAAACGAACACTTTTCCACCAAGTCTCGTTTCCTCGACACAGTAGATGCCCTCATCTCGTACTAGACTCTAGCAACAGCATCTATCTGGTTTCCTAAACTCCAGCCCCACTTCCGCAATCGATTCAGTAGTCCACAACCAGATACGAAATAAAATACTGATAATATTAGGCCACCACTCTGATCAAGTACCTTGCTAAGGCTCTCAGACTCCATAGCTTGGCATTCAAGGATTTCCACTTTCTCTCCCTACCTCCTCATCCTACTTCCTATCAGAAAAGCGGCCTCCTGGCAAAGACAGCAGATAAAATTAATTTATTTGTTCCTTCACCCACATGGCTTACTTCTGCATAAAATACTTTCCTCTTCTGTTTCTACCCAATCTTTCTAGGTTCACAGCAAGTCCAAATTCCTGTAAAATAATAACCTCAATAACTGAAAGAATGTTAAGGTTCTTAACATTAACATATTAAAGAAATAGTAATGTCAAAATTCCCAGTTCCCAGCCTACTTTCCCTGTTCCTTCACTAATGGATCTTGGAAATTGTAGTTAATTTCTATAATTTTCAACTTCTCCATCCGCAAAATGATTATCTGTATTTATGAGGTTGTGTGATTAATAACAACATAACATTTTAGCACTATTTGCCAGGCACTTTGCAAATCTCTTCACACAAATGCATTTTCTTAAAGGACTCAAAGTATTAGGCAAATGTTCTTATCAACTAGCCTATCCATTTGAAAGACAAAGAATTTAGGGCCCAGGTTAAATGGTTTTTCCTTAATGAAAAGGCCAGAATTAGAGCTCACCTATCTTACTGTCTTTTACCAGACCGTGATTTCTGATTAACCAAATCACTCCAATTTACAGCAGTCCCTGAACTCACTGCACCGTCTGTACTTTTTGAAAAGTGTCGCTTCTCCAGGCTCCAACCGCAAATCAGAAACCATGAGGAATATGATTGAGAAAAGTGAACAAAGGGAGTTCTAAGGCCTAGTCCTCAATCTCTCGGTAATGCAATGGGTAACCTTAGGTAAGTCAATTCCTATTTTCCATCTATAAAATAAAGCAGTTAAAAACTGTTGTCTTAACTAAGGTCCCTTCCAAGTCTAAGGCATTGTGGGTTTTTTTTTTTAATGTTTATTTATTTTGAGAGAGAGAACACAAATGGGGGAGGAGCAGAAAGAGAGGGGGACAGAGGATCCGAAGAGGGCTCTGTGCTAATAGCAGAGTGTGATGCAGGGGCTCAAACTCACAAACACTTAACCAACTGAGCCACCCCGGTGCCCCAGACATGGTGATGTTTCAAAATTCCATGACTGGATGGATCATCAAGGAGACTGGCAAGAACTGGTTTACTTGCACAAGTGTTGGCAACAACTTATTTTTAAATCAAAAGTCCCCAAATCTGGGACTGTCAAACTCTCCCATGCTGCAAGTTACCATTTCACTAGAATCTAACCTCCACCCCTGGAAAGTAAACTCCACTTCTGAATTATATACTCAAGAAGGCAGGAACTTTTATTTGTTGCCTTGATCACTGCATGTCAAGCCCCTAGAATAGTCTGACACAGAGTTGGTACTCAGTAAATGTTGTGAGAATGAATACATTCACCTGGGTCACGATTCTTGGACGAGTGATATTTTCATACAGGATTTACAGCCTGTTCAGCATATTGTGTGCACAGAGGATGGTCAATCAATGCTGAAATTTACAACACCCCTTCAAACTGAACTTTACAACTCTGCAAAGTACTGCAGTCCTTTTAGAAGAACTAGGAACCCAGTTTCTGTGGAGTACAAAAGCACACACGCTTGCACTAAACCAGCTGCCTCCCATTTATTAGTTCTTGTTTATAGAAAAACCCCCTTCCTGTAGCAGGCTTCCATAGAGAGAGTGATACTGAAGCCAATCCTCCTACTTCACCCAAAAATCATACCTTTTCCTTAAAGTGTTTCCTACTAATCTGGAAGAGTGGCCAGTGGAGAATATGAAGATCCTTGTCACCAGAGTCACCCAGATTCTTACCCATTTGGGTGTCTTCAATACATTAACAGAGTTCAATACTTTGTATATGCACTTCACTAGGGACACTTGTAAAATGACACAAACTCTTTAACAATAGTTTTAACAATTTATTTTTTTTTTTAATTTTTTTTTTCAACATTTATTTATTTTTGGGACAGAGAGAGACAGAGCATGAACGGGGGAGGGGCAGAGAGAGAGAGGGAGACACAGAATCGGAAACAGGCTCCAGGCTCTGAGCCATCAGCCCAGAGCCCGACGCGGGGCTCGAACTCGCGGACCGTGAGATCGTGACCTGGCTGAAGTCGGACGCTTAACCGACTGCGCCACCCAGGCGCCCCTAGTTTTAACAATTTAAAAATAAAGTGTTGAAATTGTCTTTTAATAGCCTTAAGTTTTTAAATGTTTGTTTATTTTGAGAGAGCAAGAAAGCGTGAGTATGTGTGTGTGCAAGAGCAAACGGCAGAGAGAGAGGAGAGAGGGAATCATGCAGGCTCCACACTGACAGCAAGGCTCAATCCCACGAACTGAACTATGAGATCATGACCTGAGGATCAAGAGTTGGATGTTCAACCGACTGAGTCACCCAGGCAACCCTAAGGTGTTGAAATTTTCTAATGATTTCCTTTTTAGAAATTAAAATAATCCCTAGGTCACTGATATAATAATATTCATTTCCATTCTAATATGCTTTCTAGAATGGCAGAGACTGGAAAAGTTACTGAAACTGTGCATGGGATCCTGTACACAGATGAATAGTAATACTACTCTCTGTTGAGGTGGATGAAGGGATAGGGAGACCCTGTCTTAGATCAAGAGATTGACTGTGGGATCCCAGAGACCCCAGGCGGTTCTGATTAGCCCTGATTTCTAACAAGGAAGCAAACATAATAATAAAAGCTATGTATTAAAGTTTTCTATATAGTTATTTGACGGTCGAAGCTAATACCTGAAGTAAGACCGGAATGTGAGGGAAACAGTGTAACTGAGGAAGAAATGAGCTTCAAATCTTCTCTGGCAAAATTCAACATGAAGGATAACGATAATAAATTGCAACTGTAAAACCAATCACATTTTAAAAGCTTGATTTTTTGCTTTTTTTTTTTTTTAGCTGGTTAGTGTTTTGTTTTTGCAAAGCAGAGATACCTTTCCTGATTTTATTCATTATAAAAGTTATATGTTACCACTGTATTAGTTTCTATAGCACCAAAATAAAATACCACAGACTGGGTGACTTTCACAAAAGAAATTTATTTCTTCATAATTCTAGAGGCTACATTCTGAAATTGAGGTGTCAGCAGGCTTGGCTTCTCCTGAGACCTCTCTCATTGGCTTGTAGATAGCCACTTTCTCTCTGTCCCCACTTGGTCTTCTCTTTGTGTGAGTCTGTGTCCTAATTCTTACAAAGACAGAGTCCTATTAGATTAGGACCTACCCTAATGACCTCCTTTTATCTTAATTATCTCTTTGAAGACCCTATCTCCAAATAGTCACATTCTGAAGTACTGAGGAGTTAAGACTTCAACATGAATTTGCAGGGGGAACTAAAACAATTAAGCCCATAATACTAGCATAAAGAGGTCAGCAAAGTTTTTTTTAAGTTTTTATTTTAATGTTTATTTATTTTTGAGAGAGAAAGAGTGCAGGCTCACAAACTGTGAGATCATGACCTGAGCCAAAGTCGGACACTCAACCAACTGAGCCACCCAGATTCCCCCAAAGATTTTTTAAATTAACATTTCCAGTGTATTCTTGTAACATTACTAGTACAGATTCATAGTCCTCATCTGAAAGTTTTAAGGCTGGATATCTTTCATTAGAAAGACATTTTGGGATTTTCAAAAGGCATTATATGGTACAAACACTGCATAATTACATAACCCTCCAAGTGGGCTCACAAGTAGTATCCCATAATCAAATGCATTAATATTTCTTCAAAATATATAAATATTCATGCCGTGTGGGAAAATAAAGTCCATAAATCACCTCACCTCAGTACTACTTAGGCTTTACTGCTAAATGATTATAGGTCAGGTAAAATATGAAAATGTTTTCAATTTTCAGTGCTTTTTAGATTATGGATT